AAGCTCTGGAGGAATTTGGAGAACCCTGGGACCTCAGCCCTGGAGATGGTGCCTTCTATGGGCCTAAGGTAAGCTGAGAACCCTGGTTAGAGTTTTATTTATTCATTTTTTGTTTAGTTTTATTAAATTTTTAGTAGACACAAAGACTTTTTTTGGGGGGGGGGCTGGCTGGTATTGGGAACTGAACCCTTGACCTTGGTATGAGCTAACTGCCCAGCCCCAAAGAAATATTTTTATTTGTAGGTTTTTTTTTTTTTTTTTTTCTTTCTGTAAAGAAATGTTTTTAAACTGTAGGATATAAAGAATAGCAACACATTTCCTGCCCCCATGGAACTTGCAGTCTAGTGAGGGCTGTGGAAAGTAAATAGGCCATGTCAGTGCTCTGGGAGCAGTGCTGTGTGGGTACTAAGGGAGCATGTTAGCGGGGGTTAGCATTACTTGGGGAGTCAGGAAAGGCCTCCTACAGGAATCGCTTTCCAGTCTGAAAAATGAGTAATTGTTGTCCGAGTAAAGAGGTGTTTTAGGAGGGAGCAGTGTAGGCAGAGGCTGGGGTAGGGGTAAAAACTCACATGGCAAGTTAGAAGAAGTGAAAAAAATTGCAGGGGGAAAGGACAGAAAAGTGTCTGCTGGATTTAGTAAAAAGGCTGTCATGTTTTGAAGGACGATTTCCGGTAAAGTGGGGCCTGGGTGTGGAGTCAGAAGTGAATGAATGAACATAATTCTTTAAAGAATTTTTGCTCTTATAAAGGCAAAGGAGAGTAGCTAAAGTGTCCTGGGTAGTTGAAAGACTTTTAGGAAGGGAGAGATTTGAAAATGTTTAAATGCTATGATGAGAGGGAGACTATGGGCATCAATCTCTGCTTTTGTGTCTGTGTGGTATATGACACATTGGGGCAGCATTGAGCAGTTCTGTTGCAGGACCAAGGAGGTAGAAGGTTAAGGTGCCGCCAGGGTGGGCTTTTGCCATATGGATGTGACAGAAGAAAAATGGATGGTATAAGGGAACTAGGGAGAATAGTTACAGCTGCCTGGGGAAAGAAACAAGGTGGGAAGGGCCTGGAGATGGAAGGAAAAAGGAGTTAAGGAACCTATGGGTTGAAGAGCCAGTAATAGGAATAATTATCAGAGCTGGAAGACCCAGAGACAGTAATCAGAGTAGGGTGTTTGATGGGCTGATTCAGAGGTGCAGCAATTGGGGGAGATGACAGGATGAAAGATGTAGCCATAGTGGGGGCATGGGTGCAGGTCTCTGAGATGAGAGCTCAAGGAATTGAGAGGCTAGGGTATGGATGTCCTCTAATATTGTAACCCAGTTATAAAGTGGAGAGAGTTACTGAGAGCCATGGCCAGAGTAAGTGAACTAGAGTGAAGTAGAGCAGTAGATTATGATACAGTTGTGTGACATGACTCTCCAAATAGCCTGGGACATGGGTAAGTTGAAGGGTGGAGTGGTACAGATAATGGAGGATGATACTGGCTCTGGTTTCTCTCATGCCCTGCCATCTGTCTCCCCAGATTGATGTGCACCTCCGTGATGCCCTGGGTCGGCCCCATCAGTGTGGGACAATCCAGCTTGACTTCCAGTTGCCCCTGAGATTTGACCTGCAGTACAAAGGGTACAGAACCTTGCCCTGTCCCTATTGCCTTTGAGTTGTTCATCCCATGGAATAGGTGAACAATTTCCCCTCTACCTTTGACCCCCCAAACTAAACCAAATCCTCCACACCCTCCCCTGCCCAGGCTGAAGAGTTCTTAAAAACTGGAAAGTGACCTTGGGTACATAATTTGTGACACTTCCATCATTCCTTCTACCCCCCCTTTCCCTCCAAGGCAGGCGGGGGCCCTGGAACGTCCAGTCCTCATTCACCGAGCAGTGCTCGGTTCTGTGGAAAGACTGTTGGGAGTGCTGGCAGAAAGCTGTGGGGGAAAATGGTGAGACCCCTGACACTTGATTTCTGTTCTGGCCTTCAAACCAGATAGTTTGTGCTCCAGATCCCATGCCCCTTCATATCCCAGCTTCTGTTTGGTTCTCAACTTTGCCCCCTGAAGTGCACTTCTGGCCAGAGCCAGAGTGAATCAATTGCCCTCCTCTGTTCTCTCCCCAACCAGGCCTCTGTGGCTGTCCCCATTCCAGGTGGTGGTCATCCCTGTGGGGACTGAGCAAGAGGAATATGCCAGAGAGGTGAAGAATTGGGGGAATGGAAGGGGCAGAAGCAGGACCAGGAGGGAGTTGTGCCATCAGTGGGTAGGAAGAGACCGCACAGAGTAGTGGACAGGGTACAGCACTTGGAGCCATGAGACTGGGTTTGAATGGCAACTCTCCTATATGCTGCAAATTCTACATCCAAAAAAGGAGACTAATCCTGACTGTAGAGTTGTGTGAAAATCAAACAAATTAATAAATGTTAAATTCTGCCAATAGAGCACTTGGCACAAAAGTGGCTTGAGTAAATATTGATTTTATTTTTCCTTTCTAATGAGAATTGAGGATATGGCCAGTACCAGAGTTGAGCAAGCAGTGGTTGGTAGATCAGTGGCTGGAAGCAAGTGAAGTCCAGGGAATAATTGGGGGCTCGTCTCCTGTAGGAGGCAGACAGAAAAGTTGTGGGGTTGGGGATGGGGAAGAGGCCTTAGTGTTGAGGTCAGATGGAGAGAGGTTGTTGGTGAGAACTGTGAGGACACCGAGGCAGGGGAAGGAGGAGTGGATGGGGGGATTGAGAAATAGTGGCATCAGACTGCTCTAGCTCCTCTACCTTCCACTGATTTAACTTCCTGTCACCAAACCTCTGTCCCAGGCACAACAGAGCCTACGGGCTGCAGGACTGGCCAGTGACCTGGATGGTGACTCTGGACTGACTCTCAGCCGGAGAGTCCGCCGGGCCCAGCTTGCTCACTACAATTTTCAGTTTGGTAAGCAAGTGGGTCAGCCCAGGACCTCAGAGTCCTGTGTTCTCCCATCTGCCCTCTGCATTCTTCTTTATTAAATTTAGTTATCTGCCTATTTGGGTTAATTGAGGCTCATTACCTGAGCTAACTAGGAGCCAGGATTCAGGACACCTGACTCATTTGGGCCCGAGGTTCCTTCACACCATGCTCCCACTTCCACCACAACCACTTCTGACCCTCAGAACAGTTTTCCTCTTATTAACCCCACCCCAGCTCTTGGTGTCTGTTAGGTTAATTAAGGGAACATCAGAGAGAAAGGGAGGGGAAGGGTTAATAAGGTGTTATTAGCCTTGTTTATTCCAGACCTAGATGGAGTCAGCCCTAAGGGATGAGGAGATAGGCCTTAAGGAGAAAATCTACAGTGTCTTGCTCCTGCTTTTTTACTTTTTCAGGATTCAGAGCTCTGTTGTGAGGGCAAGGAACAAAAATTCCTCAGCCAGGTGACCTGATTCTCTAGTTTTACACACCTCCCTCATCTGCCGGCACCCTTTTTTTGGGGTGGGAGCAGCTGGCCGGTAGAGGGATCTGAACCCTTGACCTTGTTGTTATAAGGCAGTGCTCTAACGAACTGAGCTAACTGGCCAGTCCTGACAGCACTTAGAGCAAGCCGTCTCACAGTCCCGTGGACTTGCACATGTGTGTTCCACTCCTGCCATCTTCCCCTTCATTTAATGCGTCCCTCTCCCCCAACACACACACACACACACACAGTTTCTCTCGTGTCTGGTTCTGGATCTGTTTGTCTTTTTCTGACTGACTCTAGTATCTCTGACCCCTGGGCTTCTGACTAGAAGTGATAAGGCATGTAGGGACTGGAACATTTCCTTATCTCCTCAGGATGAGCAGGAAACTGGAGAGAGCAGGCACAGCTAAATATCCTTTCTTTGAACTGTATCTGGGCTCTGCTCCCACCCTTCCTAAAGATTTAGGTCTCTTAAGATTCTGCATAACAGGGCCGGCCCGGTGGTGCACTGGAGAGTGCGCCGCTTGGGAGCGCGGCGGCGCTCCCGCTGAGGGTTTGGATCCCATGTGGAGACCGGTTCCCGCTCACTGGCTGAGTGTGGTGCGGGCGCAGCACCGAGGGTTGCGATCCCGTTGCCGGTCCCCGGTGCAGGCGCGACACTGAGGGTTGCGATCCCATTACCGGTCAGTAAAAAAGACAAAAAGGAAGAAAAAAAAAAGATTCTGCATAACAAAAGGAAATAATAGCCCATGTGGATGAATTTGCCCTGAGATTTCTAAACCTCCCTTCCTCTTCCTTCAGTGGTTGGCCAGAAAGAGCAAAGTAAGAGAACAGTGAACATTCGGACTCGTGATAATCGTCAACTTGGGGAGTGGGACTTGACTGAGGCTGTGCAGCGGCTGCTGGAGCTACAGAACACCAGGGTTCCAAATGCTGAAGAAATTTTCTGAGTCTTTGTACATAGATGAGGGAAAGACCTCCCAGAGCCATCAGCCTCCTTTAACACAGGAAATACCAGCTCAACTGACAGTCTGGAGTCCGCCAGAATCTTCAGCAGAACTCGTGTGGAGGCACACATCTGCTCTCCTGAAAAGAGACTTGGTTTGGGAGCCCAGAGGGAGGGAAGCTGTAACTGCTTGGAGTGAGGAGAGTAAAACCAAAAAAATAAACTTGAAGCTACTGGGTGTGTGTTTACATCTCTGAATCCTGAGAGGGAGGATAAAAGGAAGTTTGACTCTGTCTCTCTATTTTTTGTCCCAGAGAGTTGGGGAAATTGAAAAGGGATAGCCCAGGCCTCTGACTGATAGGGGATGCCCTCAGATAGCTTTCCTCCTCCCCATTGTAAGATCCTTAGTGCCCGGTTCCCCTAGCCCCAGTACAGTAAGTTGGCAGATCCCATCTCCACAGAAGGCAGCATACAGATGGAGAAACTGAGGCACAGACTAAGGGCTCAAGCGTCTTGCTCCGTGATTCTCTGAATCAGTTTCTCTCACGGTTATAAGAATGCTCCCTTCCCATCACCCCCATTCTTCTCGATCCTCTGAGGAGGCTTCAGGGTGAGTTTGGGAGGAGTGGCTGCCAGAGGAGGAGCAGCTGGGACTGAGTCATGGCAGGAAGCTGAGGAGGGCGGGAGATAGCACCAGACAGCCATATAAAAAGTAGGAGACGGCCCTGAACTTCCCAATAGCACTGACAGCAACCAGAGAAGCAGACTTCAGCAGACCAGCCCTTCCAATCCAGATCTGCCTGATAGGACCCACTTTCTGGGTGGCCCGTGACCAGTCCTTGCCCCAGGATGTGGACCATGTCCAGAGCAGCCTTGGTCTTGGTCTGTTTGGCCGTAGCTTCTGCAGCCTCTGAGGGAGGTGAGTGGGGGTGGGGTCAGCACTTGGAAAGGAGTCCTGGCAGCATGGGCAAGGGCCTGGGTCCAGGCATCCTAAACAGCTCGTCACCAGCAGGGTGATTCTCCATTTGGCCTCCCTTTCGCTGGGGCTCTGGAGCCTTTAACCAGGGAGGCAGGGGCCAGGGTCACAGGAAGAAAGGAGTTTCTAGAGATTGCTGCCAAGAAACGCAAAACTGGAGTCAAATGGATAACTGAGGGGATGGGTGGATCCACAGAGTAAGGAACCTCTGCCTAAGGAGGATGTATGTAGGGGGCCTATTAGGCATAGAGGGGGAGAGGGAAAGGCCCCCAGGCTGCTCAAAACTGGTTTGCTGACCCAGGGAGCCTTGACTGGTTAGAGGAGTTAAGGGGGTGTCCATCCACAGACCCACCCTCTATCCAGCACACACACTTTCTTTATCTGCTTCAATGCCTGAACAAATCAGGGAACTCCTGGGGGAGACTGTTGAGAGAATGTCAATAGTCTGTATCTCTGTAAAGCCCTACATCATTGTCCCTCCCAGTTCCTAGTCTCTTGTGCCTGCAGATCAACTATGAGTGATTCTTTTTCCTGTGCCTGTCCCAGTCCCCCTGGTCCTAAATTGAGACCTAAACTGAGGAGGAGCTGTGACTAGCTGAAGGGGGGGCACTTAAACTTCTGGATGGGCTCCTTATTAGAAGGCCTGAAGGTAGTTTAAAGGGCCTGGAGTAGGCGGGTAGGTGGAGGAGGTGGGCAACTGAGACTCCAATGAGCTCAAGGTCCAGACTGTGTCCTCTGAAAGCTAGAGAAGCATCACAGCAGAGGTTGTGGGGAGGACACCCCACCAGACCTGAGGGGAAGACTCTGATAGAGGAAATTAGGGCCTTAGGCCCAGCCTCTGAGCCAGGTTGAGGTAGAGGTATAGAATATCACCAGCTTTCTCAGAACCCAGCAGGTCATATCAAGGTGTGTTTTGGGTGGGAGAGATTTGGGGACATGGGGCAGGTGCAATACAGAGGGGCTTTGCGTGTCTTGGTTGTCTTTCCTACACTCTTGACCTCCACAGCCTCCCCATCTCTTGCTCAGGGCCGGGAAAGGGCTATTCAAAACCATCCCTGACTCACCCTTCCTCCCTCCAGGCCTCAAGGATCCAGGACAGAGGGAGCTGAGGCCAGAGCACCTTCAAGAAGGTAAGAATTTGGGGGAGCAGCATGGGATTGGGAGTCCAGAGGAGCTGTAGGTGCTGACTGTCTTCCCTCTTGCCTCTAGTTGGCTATGCAGCACCCCCCTCCCCACCGCTGACCCACAGCCTCCCCATGGGTCACCCTGACAACTTTCAGCATGGCCCTCCCTTTGAGCGACAGAGTGAAGGTAAAGCCACCACACGCCCTTCTCAGTTACCCCTCCAGGTTTCTAATCTGGCCTCCTTCCCACTCTTCAGATGGAGAGGAGGGAAGAAGCCCCCTCTCCTGGCCTTGGCTAGGAGAAAGGATGGGCTGCTCACGCACTCCCCCTTCTGTAGTGCAGCCCCCGCCCTCTCAGGAAGCCACCCCTGTCCAAGAGGAGGAGCTGCCTCCTCCCCAACTCCCTGTTGAAAAGAAAGGTGAGTGCTTGCTTGCTTTGTCCCATTAGGGATCTCGCTGACACTACTCTGATCCTTGCTCCTTTGCGCCCTCACCCATGTCTTGCAGTGGATCCTCCTCCCCCTCAGGAAGCCATACCCCTCCAAGAAGAGCTGCCCCCTCCCCCACTCCCTATTGAACAGAAGGAAGGTAAGCAACCCCCACTCCTCTTTACCAACAACCTTTACCCCCGCCTTACCCAGAGCACGGGCTGTGGAGGTAAACGAGATGGTGGGCTCTGCCACTTACTTGTTGTGTGACCTTGGGTAAGTTACTTACCTCTCCAAGCCTTAGATTCTTCCTTTGTAAAATTGACAAAATAATACCTATTTTATAAAGTTATGTGATTAAATGACATAAAAATAGCATTGATTTTCACTTGCTTCTCTACTGAGTTCCTCTTTATGAATGGGAACTAGCCACGTTCCTCTCTTCTAGAGATGTCCATCCCAACATGATTTTTGCTTACTCCTTCTACCCCAGTAGACCCACCTCTCCTACATCAGGAAGAGATGATCTTCCAGTCTGATCAGAGAGAGGGTGAGTAACAGCTTTGGTCTGTCCATCCCCCTGTTTAGCACTCAGGACCCTGGGGAGAGGATCTGGGAGCCAAAGCCTTGGGAAGGAGTACAAGGAACAGGACTGATTTGGGAGGGGTGGGGACAGCTGTGAGGGAGACACCTGTCATGCCTCAATTTTTTCAGTCAATCATGCTGAAAGTTAAAAGCCACAAGTTAATTTCTACCTCATTTCCCCCTTATCCTCCCAAACCTTTCTCCTCAACCCCTAGCCGTCCTAGCAACAACCCCCTCAGTCCTCCTAGCTCATCAGTCTTTGCTTATTCCTCCACATGTGTCCCCCTCCCACTCTGTTTTCCCCATTCTAGAAAAGCCTGCTCCGTTTGTGGGCCAGGGCTCTCCAGAGCCTGAATCTTGGAATCCAGCCCAGCACTGCCAACAGGGCCGATTCCGAGGGGGCTGGGCCCACAGGCTGGATGGCTTCCCCCCTGGGCGGCCTTCTCCAGACAATCTGAACCAGATCTGCCTTCCTGACAGACAACATGTGGTATACGGCCCCTGGAACCTGCCACAGACTGGCTACTCCCACCTTAGTCGCCAGGGTGAGACCCTCAATTTCCTAGAGACTGGATATTCCCGCTGCTGCCGCTGCCGTAGCCACAAAAACCGCCTAGACTGTGCAAAACTTGTGGTAAGGGTTGAGCTGTTGATGTTGGGGGTGTCCTTTAACTCCCAGACTGTAGGTGTGTATTTGAAGGGCTAGAGGCCTAGGCCAGGGTATGGAGGAAACACAGGTCCCTGTCATTGGCCCTACGTTGGGCCTCCCTAGTGTGCCAGGAGAGCAGAGGACAGCCACTGCTTCTTTCTTATCTATCTGCCCAGGGTCCTTTCCTGGAGCCTGGGAGGAAGGCAGGAATGTGGACAATGGGCTGCCGGGCTGACCCACCCCTCTCGCTCTAGTGGGAGGACGCAATGACCCGGTTCTGTGAGGCCGAGTTCTCAGTCAAGACTCGAGCCCACCAGTGCTGCAAACAGCAGGGGGAGGCTCGATTCTCCTGCTTCCAGGAGGAAGCTCCCCAGCCACACTACCAGCTCCGAGCCTGCCCCAGCCACCAGCCTGGTATTTCCTCGGGCCCTGAGCTGCCTTTTCCCCCTGGGGTGCCCACACTGGACAATGTCAAAAACATCTGCCACCTGAGACGCTTCCGTTCTGTGCCACGCAACCTCCCAGCTACTGACCCCCTCCAAAGAGAGCTTGAGGCTCTGACCCGGCTGGAGGGAGAGTTCCAGCGCTGCTGTCGCCAGGGGAACAACCACACCTGTACATGGAAGGCTGTAAGTGGGCGTCCCAGCCCCCCAAGAACCTGCCTGCCCGCCTGCCCATCTCCGACCTCCGATCCTGCCGGTCCATCCATCCATGTAGCTCCCTGCTGTGAGCACGTCCACCTGTTCATCTGCTTGTGACTGTCAGTCCATCCATTGTGTTCATCATCTGAGTCTATTCATCTTGAGCCCTCATCCTACACTGCTGGACTCATCACCCATGACCCCATACATGTACCTGTCTGCCATCCATCCGTCCAACTCTGACTTCACCTAACCCTCTCCATCTACTGTTCCAGCTCATCTCCTGTGGCCAACTCGGAAGCTCATCTGTGCCTCCAACCCTTCCACCTTCCCAGCCCCACGCATCCACAGCTGCCTCCTTGCCCTCTGGTTCTTTGCCCTCCCCTCTTGGCCCTGGGAGCCACTCATCTCATAACCAGGGCATTAGGGGAAATAGATGGTCAAGAGAGAAGGGGCCAAGTGTCCAGGCTCCTGACCTCCCTCTCTCTGGCCCACAGTGGGAGGATACCCTTGACCGATACTGTGACCAGGAACAAGCTGTAAAGACCCACCACCACTTGTGCTGCCACTACCCTCCTAGCCCTGCCCGGGATGAGTGCTTTGCCCAACGGGCTCCCTACCCCAACTATGACCGGGACATCTTGACCCTTGACATCAGCCGAGTCACACCTAACCTCATGAGCCACCTCTGTGGAAACCAAAGAGTTCTCACCAAGCAGTGAGTCTTGCCCAGTTCTTCCTCAACTCCCTTCCCCTCCCCAAAACCTCCCTTCTGGGGCACCCTTGGGAAGAGCAAACTCATAGTCTCCCAGCACCATTTTGATGCCAGGGGATGCCCAAAGACTCTGACCTCTGCCCCTTTACACCAATGTAGTAAACAGATTCCTGGGCTGATTCGGAACATGACTGCCCACTGCTGCAACTTGCCATTTCCAGAACAGGCCTGCTGTGCAGAGGAGGAGGTGAGTGTGTGGGAAGGAGGCATCTCAGTCTCCAGAGGAATACAGGGGAGGGAAGGGAGAGGGCTAGAACTACAGGCCACCCCTTCTCTTTAGTACCTCAAACCAGTGCACAGAAATAACAAGGACTAGTGAGGGAGATGTTTTTCTTGGTTCCAAAAGTCTTCATTCCTGACCTGGCCTGTTCCCCACCACTAAGTTCCTATTATGCCTTCTCTGGGCTTCAAGCTTCTGGCACTTCCAGATATGTGCATCTGTCAGTCACAAGGAATCCAGCTGTACAAAGGCAGGCTTGCACTCTCTGTGGGCCTCAGGAAGGGATCCAGGAGAAGAAAAGTAGAAGCTGACAGAAGGGGGACTTTGGGTACCCAAGTATCCATGCCTGACCTGTGACCAGCCCCCTCCCCCATTGTCTGTGCTTTACTCTTCCGCTTCATCAGAAATTAGCCTTCATCGATGATCTGTGTGGTCCCCGACGTAAATTCTGGCGAGACCCTGCCCTCTGCTGTGACCTGAGTCCCGGGGATGAACAGACCAACTGCTTCAACATCAATTACCTGAGGAATGTGGCTCTAGTAGCTGGAGACACTGGGGATGCCAAGGGCCAGGGGGAGCAGGGCCCAACTGGGGGAACAAATATCAGCCCCACCCCTAAGCCCAAGGAAGAATGAGTCACCCCAGAGCCTTGGAGGATCAGATGTAGGGAACCCCACCCTACCCCACCCTCCTCAAACACTCATTACAGTAAACACTTCTTGGATTTGGTGTTCCCCTTGTCTATAACACCACACACAAACACACCCTCCTAAGCTTGGATGATGTTCTGAGTTGGCCACAGGAGATGAGCTGCTTGGATTTCCTTCAGTGAGGGGCCCCTGAGGCCCACTGCCCTGCTGCCACTGACTGAGCAGATGTTCCACAGGCTGTGTGATGGGACCATAACTAAATGGCTTGACTTCACTATTTGTCATCTTGAATTTATTCACATTTTAAAAAATACGGAATGCTTCACGAATTTTCTCGTTGTCCTTGCACAGGGGTCATGCTAATCTTCCCTGTATCCTTCCAATTTTTAGTGCATGTGCTGCTGAAGCAAGCACTTACATTTTAAAAAAACAGTGCCAACTTGTTAGCTAGCTATCAGGATTCAAGGTGAAAAAGATACGGTTCATGACCTTAGTGAGCCCCCAAAATGCCACAGTCCAGCCTGACATTTTTAAATCTTCACTTCTGATCCCTGGACTCCATGCATTGATACTTATTGGACTTATTGGACCCCTCTAGCTATGTGTACTGTACAAGACTTGGGAGATACATATCTGACAAACACACAGCTTCTGCCCTGAAGTCGTCCACAGTCCACGTACCTAGCAGGTGTGATAAATGTGGCATAGGGCCATAGGGCGACCAGGGTGCCAGTGTGCACGGGCAGGGAGTAGGGCTGGGGACAGCACGGGTTCACTGGGGAAGACCTCTGGGACGGCGAGGTCGGAGCTTCTCCAGGAGAGAAGTAGAGAGTGCAAGGGGCAGGTACGGTGCAGGCAGAAGGGCACAAGCATCAGGGCTACAAGGGCCGGGCTCTTTGGTTGTCTTCCTCTCAGATGCGGCAGCAACGATAAGCAGGAGCTTATCACCGATGCCACATCCATAGGGTTAAAGTGGATCTTGGCGCCTCCCTCCCGGGAAGGCACTGGCGGTTTCAAGCAGAGGAGGTGCTCCGATTTGCCTTTTAGATTGTCTAGTCGGCAGCCAGCCAGCAGGCCCCTGGGAGGCCAGTTCAGAGAGCGTCTTGCCAATCCCGGAGTGAAGGGGACCAGAGAGTGGCAGTGACAGTGACTCTCAAGCCCTACAAAGCTGCCCCCAGGATCCCGGAGCCTCGAAGCTGGAGCTGAAATAATCGGAATGAAGACTAGGGTCCCGGGGGACTGGTGCTCTGTGACTCTGCTGCCAGGACAACTTTCCAGAAAGCGGGACTTCCCCGGCCCCAGTTCTGGCGGAGAGGAAGCAAAGACCATCGTCTTACCCCAACCTGGGGAGGCTGCGTCTCAGTAGCTCTCAAACCGACACCGCCGCTCCCTCCGCCTCTCCTCCACAGCCTTTTATTTATCCACTCATTTATTTTTTGGCCGGTTGGCTGTTTGTAACTAAGCAGCCTCCTAGCACATCCTTCCCCGGCTGTCCGCTCCACCCGTCCGTCAACACTGGAGCCAATGAGCGCTCAAGAGCAGCACCGGGCCCCCGCCCCCACCGGCAGCCCCGCCCCTCGAGACGTGGGTGGCCCGCTCCTAGGGCCCCCGCCGCTCGCGTCAGGGGCTCGAGGTGTCACTGCGCCTGCGCCGGCGTCCCACGCAGCTCGGTCTACGGAACCGAATCTCGGGCAGGGAGGGCCGGGCCGCTCCTCCCCCGTCCCGTCCACACTGGCGCCTTCTTTTTTTTTTTTTTTTTTTAAAAAAAAGATGACCGGTAAGGGGATCTTAACCCTTGCCTTGGTGTTGTCAGCAACATGCTCACCCAGTGAGCAAACCGGCCATCCCTATGTGGGATCCGAACCCATGGCCTTGGTGTTATCAGCACCGCACTCTCCCGAGTGAGCCACAGGCCGGCCTCACACTGGCGCCTTCTTTGCTCGCATCGAAATGAGCTGCGGGCTGGGGCCGGCCCGTGGCTCACTCGGGAGAGTGCGGTGCTGATAACACCAAGGCCATGGGTTCGGATCCCACATAGGGATGGCCGGTTTGCTCACTGGGTGAGCATGTTGCTGACAACACCAAGGCAAGGGTTAAGATCCCCTTACCGGTCATCTTTTTTTTAAAAAAAAAAAAAAAAAAAGAAGGCGCCAGTGTGGACGGGACGGGGGAGGAGCGGCCCGGCCCTCCCTGCCCGAGATTCGGTTCCGTAGACCGAGCTGCGTGGGACGCCGGCGCAGGCGCAGTGACACCTCGAGCCCCTGACGCGAGCGGCGGGGGCCCTAGGAGCGGGCCACCCACGTCTCGAGGGGCGGGGCTGCCGGTGGGGGCGGGGGCCCGGTGCTGCTCTTGAGCGCTCATTGGCTCCAGTGTTGACGGACGGGTGGAGCGGACAGCCGGGGAAGGATGTGCTAGGAGGCTGCTTAGTTACAAACAGCCAACCGGCCAAAAAATAAATGAGTGGATAAATAAAAGGCTGTGGAGGAGAGGCGGAGGGAGCGGCGGTGTCGGTTTGAGAGCTACTGAGACGCAGCCTCCCCAGGTTGGGGTAAGACGATGGTCTTTGCTTCCTCTCCGCCAGAACTGGGGCCGGGGAAGTCCCGCTTTCTGGAAAGTTGTCCTGGCAGCAGAGTCACAGAGCACCAGTCCCCCGGGACCCTAGTCTTCATTCCGATTATTTCAGCTCCAGCTTCGAGGCTCCGGGATCCTGGGGGCAGCTTTGTAGGGCTTGAGAGTCACTGTCACTGCCACTCTCTGGTCCCCTTCACTCCGGGATTGGCAAGACGCTCTCTGAACTGGCCTCCCAGGGGCCTGCTGGCTGGCTGCCGACTAGACAATCTAAAAGGCAAATCGGAGCACCTCCTCTGCTTGAAACCGCCAGTGCCTTCCCGGGAGGGAGGCGCCAAGATCCACTTTAACCCTATGGATGTGGCATCGGTGATAAGCTCCTGCTTATCGTTGCTGCCGCATCTGAGAGGAAGACAACCAAAGAGCCCGGCCCTTGTAGCCCTGATGCTTGTGCCCTTCTGCCTGCACCGTACCTGCCCCTTGCACTCTCTACTTCTCTCCTGGAGAAGCTCCGACCTCGCCGTCCCAGAGGTCTTCCCCAGTGAACCCGTGCTGTCCCCAGCCCTACTCCCTGCCCGTGCACACTGGCACCCTGGTCGCCCTATGGCCCTATGCCACATTTATCACACCTGCTAGGTACGTGGACTGTGGACGACTTCAGGGCAGAAGCTGTGTGTTTGTCAGATATGTATCTCCCAAGTCTTGTACAGTACACATAGCTAGAGGGGTCCAATAAGTCCAATAAGTATCAATGCATGGAGTCCAGGGATCAGAAGTGAAGATTTAAAAATGTCAGGCTGGACTGTGGCATTTTGGGGGCTCACTAAGGTCATGAACCGTATCTTTTTCACCTTGAATCCTGATAGCTAGCTAACAAGTTGGCACTGTTTTTTTAAAATGTAAGTGCTTGCTTCAGCAGCACATGCACTAAAAATTGGAAGGATACAGGGAAGATTAGCATGACCCCTGTGCAAGGACAACGAGAAAATTCGTGAAGCATTCCGTATTTTTTTAAATGTGAATAAATTCAAGATGACAAATAGTGAAGTCAAGCCATTTAGTTATGGTCCCATCACACAGCCTGTGGAACATCTGCTCAGTCAGTGGCAGCAGGGCAGTGGGCCTCAGGGGCCCCTCACTGAAGGAAATCCAAGCAGCTCATCTCCTGTGGCCAACTCAGAACATCATCCAAGCTTAGGAGGGTGTGTTTGTGTGTGGTGTTAAGCTCCTGCTTATCGTTGCTGCCGCATCTGAGAGGAAGACAACCAAAGAGCCCGGCCCTTGTAGCCCTGATGCTTGTGCCCTTCTGCCTGCACCGTACCTGCCCCTTGCACTCTCTACTTCTCTCCTGGAGAAGCTCCGACCTCGCCGTCCCAGAGGTCTTCCCCAGTGAACCCGTGCTGTCCCCAGCCCTACTCCCTGCCCGTGCACACTGGCACCCTGGTCGCCCTATGGCCCTATGCCACATTTATCACACCTGCTAGGTACGTGGACTGTGGACGACTTCAGGGCAGAAGCTGTGTGTTTGTCAGATATGTATCTCCCAAGTCTTGTACAGTACACATAGCTAGAGGGGTCCAATAAGTCCAATAAGTATCAATGCATGGAGTCCAGGGATCAGAAGTGAAGATTTAAAAATGTCAGGCTGGACTGTGGCATTTTGGGGGCTCACTAAGGTCATGAACCGTATCTTTTTCACCTTGAATCCTGATAGCTAGCTAACAAGTTGGCACTGTTTTTTTAAAATGTAAGTGCTTGCTTCAGCAGCACATGCACTAAAAATTGGAAGGATACAGGGAAGATTAGCATGACCCCTGTGCAAGGACAACGAGAAAATTCGTGAAGCATTCCGTATTTTTTTAAATGTGAATAAATTGACTTGGTGTTGTCAGCACCACGCTCAGCCAGTGAGCGAACCGGCCATCCCTATATGGGATCCGAACCCGGGGCCTTGGTGTTATCAGCACCGCACTCTCCCGAGTGAGCCACCGGGCCGGCCCAACATTACAGTATTTTTAATTACATAAAAAAAGAGATAGTGCTGCAGCGTATAGTTGAACAGAGTTATTAAATGCACAAGGGGCAGAAGAACACTGTACTCCTCACCTTTCCATTGCCTTCGCCCTAGTCCAAGCCTCAGGATTATTTAAACAGCTTCCTGACTAGTCCCCTGGCTCTTCCTCCTGTGTCCAATCCATTTCCCATATTCCAAGCAGAATGACCTGCTAACAGCCTTGGTCAGCTCACTTCACTGATTTAAAACTCCTGCCTCCGTTACTTCCCACTGTTCCCCTAGGACAATGTCCAGAACACTCCCATGTAGCTGCCCAGGCTTTCCACCATCCCGCCTCTCTGCCCAGCCCCCAGCCCTCCAACTTTGTCCGTCACATCTCTTCCCCGCTTGTTCTCTAAGCCCCTTCAGAACTAGGACTGACTGGCCAGCCACAAAAAAAAAAAAAAAAAAAAATACTTGAGACTGATCAACTTTTGGTTCCTCAGATTCACCACATTCTTTTGTGCCTCAGTGACTTTCCCATGCTGCTCTTTCTGCATAGAACTCTCTTCCCCACTGCCCAAATGGGTAAGCTCTGTTCCGCTGTGGCAGACACTCTTTTTGTCTATTCAACAAGCCATCATCCTCCAACTCCTCAATACTTTGCACTTGCCAAATTTTAAAATAATTTTTTAAAGGATTGTGAAAAATAA